AATCTGCATCAGTATCACTGGAAACTACCCCTGGTCTCCAGCCATCAGAGCTTGCTCAGTTCTCAAATGGCTTATCTGTAACTCCCTAATAGAGAGGCTTACAAATAAGTGGCTCAGCTTGGTAAAAGCCACTTTATAAGCTGCCTGCCACAATACAAAGCTTCCTTCTTTGATTAAAAGGTACTAAATTTATGGGAAGTAATCACAGCAGTGATGCACCTTCCTGACACTTATTGGGAACAAACTGATTTATGAGAGCAGAGAAACCAATAAAAATTTATAGATTGAGTCAAAACCTTTTTGGTGTAACTAAAAATATGCTTTTAGATATTTGTAAATGATTAACTGCTTCCTGGACTTAGAGACAAAAACTGAACACTTTTAAAAATCTCTCCCTGCTTAAAAACTGTAAACATGGGGCTGAAATTACCCTATTTAATTATAACACCTAGCTGACCATCAACATCCTGAGCTGTCTCTTGGTGCAATGGGATCAGAAGTGCTCTGAAGGTGACTATTTCTTTACTCAGGACTGAGGGACCCAGGGTGATCAGGCTTCTATTTTTTACAATGCACAAAAATACCTGAAGCTCCAGGGCATAGGTTGAAAATATAAGAGGGCATTACTGCCATGTTGCCATTCCTTTGTTATTTTATATGTTGAATTTGGTCTTGAACCAAGACTGGATAGGGATTTGCCCTTACTATCCCTCAGTTTGTTCAGTATCTGTAATACATGCCATGATAAGAAACAAAACCCAGAATGCTGTGCTAAGATCGAGCACCTATATTTATCCTCTTATCCATTTTCCATTGTTCATGGCAAATTTCCACTCCAGCTAGTGGAAATTATAGTATATTGATGGAAGATGATTCAAAATCTGGAGAGAGAGGAGAGAGAAAAATCAAAGGGAAACTTGCAGATTCAGCATCTTTATTACAATGTAATAGTATCAGAGTGTATATTTTCTTTTGAAGACATTCCATTAACATGTCACTTGCTTTGGATTCTTGGATTTAAGAAAAAAGATCTTAACCAGCACTTGCTGGAAGATGTGCTGCAGGAGAGCCTGGTGCTATGGTAACAGAGCTGCATGCCCCTGTGAGCTGCACTGAAGCAGGAACCAGCAAACACCAGCTCTGCTCCCATCCAGCTCCCTGCAAGAGCCACTGTCCTTTCAAGCATCCTCAAACCACTCCTTTGTTCCTGTGTCAATGCAGGATGTGTGAGACTCACATTCTCTAAACCTGAGAGAAACACTGAGAGAAGCAGAGAAAAGAATGATCAAAACAATTCTTATCTCATTTTCTGCTCCTGTGTTGTGTTGAAGTAGAATGCAAGATAAAGATTGTTTGCCCAAAGTGATGGTGTTTTGTTTCCTTGCCCTATCAGGGCCAAGCCTGTGTGCAGACTGTCAGTCAGGAGATGGTCACGAAATTCTGAGCAGTTGAGTGAAGTGCTTTGTGCAGATTCAGTTTAAATGTAATATAATATAGTGTAATATAGTATAGAATAATATAGTATAATAAAGTAATTCATTAACCTTCTGATATCAATAGAATCAAATGCACTATTTCTCCCCATCGTCAGGGTTGCCCTAATTACCAATAGGATTGTCTTTCTCCAGATAATTTCCCTTCAACATAAATTTTCTAAGAGAGCATGCATAGCAGTTATGTCAGTTAAAACTGAAAATTTCTTTGAAAACACCTCCTTTACTCAGGGTTGAACACCCAGATACCTACTTCTGCATCTTAGATTTACTCATGGTTCTATTACCCCACTTTGCAAACTGCTCATGAAATACAAGGAGCTAAATGTGTATGCCGAAGATCTGAAAACAACAGACACACTTTGCCCTGTATTGACCAAGCAGGCAGTGGCCTCACAAGTCTGCATGTTTGAGGATTTCAGGCACCAGAGTAGGTGTGTGCAGGCAGGTAGCAATTCCTTCATATTAAACCTCAATAATAACCATTAGGCATTTCTGAAGATGTAAGCTGCTGACTGTGTGCATGCAAGTGCTGGTGGGATCAGGGTGCAGTGGTGGTTGAAAACAGGTATCCTTTAAACAGCCCCAAATCTCTAAGGAGATTGCCTGACTTGAACTATAAACCTCTGCAATTATTTCTTAATTTGCACTTACTTTTAGACCCTTGGATAGTTTCATTGATAACAAACAAACAAACAAACAGACTGAAGTTGCTAATTCTAAATTGATTGCCAATGCAGCAGTAAAACTAATTATGCCTAATGTCCTAACTCGATAAAATGGTGAAAGCAAAGAAGGGAAGGGTATCTGGCAGCTCTGTGTTTCTAGGGCATGTGTGAGGCAGACCTATTTTCACTTTAGGAGTTTAATTTGGCTGCTGTGTCCCCAGAACTCTTATTGGCTCTCCCAGCTTCTGTATCCCATGGAGAAAGGTGCTGTAGGTAAGGACCTGTCCCACCCCCTGTGAGAGCCTCACTCCCTCCAAGACAGCTTGGGAAGGCCTGAGGGACCACAGTGCAGCCCAAAGAAGCCTGCAGAGCAGGCATCTGCTCCCTGTCCCCAGCCTGGCATGCTTCTCATTCATTCAGGGGACCATGGGCTCTGGGAAGCTGAGACCAGAGCTCCAGCAGAGGTGAGCAGGGGATAAAGCACAGCTATAACACACCTTGTTAAAGAGAAACAGCCTCATGATTGTAAAATTGTTCTAGAAGCCTGCTTTCATCTTTTACCAGACAAGATAATAGTGCTCATTTTTCCCCTTTGAAAGAAGAAAAATGGAGACTGCAAATAACACTGTAGGCCTTAAAAAAAAAAAGAAGGCACAAACACTGGACAGATGTACTGAACAACTTCAGTAAAGACCTCCAGGTACATGAATAGCAGACCCAGTATGATGTTAGAGACAGTTAAGAAACAGGATTCATCTCTCTCAGAGAATTTTTTTGGAAGAAACTTTCTTTTTGTTTGCTAATTGCTCCTCAGAAAGTTGTGCCCAGAACTGCATACAGGCTGTTATTGCAGCAGTTTCCTCACAAGTGAGGCATACCTTGAGAGCAAGTGTTTACACATTTAATATGCCATGCAGCAAGTATCAATGCATAATAGGATATTGCTTGTCCAGCTTCCTTCAAGTGGTTTTGAATGTTATTAGATCCTGGTCAGACTTGCCACTTGATAAAAGTTAAGTAAGTGCATGGATTACAGCAAGAAGTGGGCCGATGTCATGATAAGAACACTTCAGGACATCTTGAAGATATTTACAGTGACTTTCACCCTGCCCATGTTTACAACAAGGTGCTACCCTTGCTGTCCTCTTATCTCTCTCCAGTTTCCTCCTGCAGGGCTCAGGCAGCCATTGCTCTCCTGGCTCTGAAGAGTGGAAACCCAGAGGAGTCACGGTGGGGAGCAGCACGGAGCTGCTTCAAAAACTCACTGAGAGGTAGAGCAGCTGAAAGCAAGCTCCCATCAGTCAAATCTATGTCTGATGTGCAGGTCTAAAAATAACCCTGCACCATCTGTGAGAGGCGAGAGCCCATTGCAGCCTCCACCTTGCCTTTAGTCAGTGTGTCCTCACAAGGCACAGAGCAGGATCAGGAGCTGACCAGGGTGGTCCTGCCTATGCCCCCACCAGGAAAACAAGCAGCCACTGAAAAATGAAGGCAGATCCTTGTGTGTGGTGGTTCAGTGCTAATAGTTGTCCAGGCAGCAGCCTAAGACAAATCAATATCTGTAATAAGGCTCATCATGCTCCAATAACTGCTGCAATCTGCATAGGAAGACTCATGCTGGATGAAGGGGAAATGTGTGTTCCTGAGGGAAAAGGCACTTAAGAGTAAATTCTCATTAAGTGAAAATTAGTTGCTGATGAAAGATTAAGCCAGTTGGCAACTGGACAAAAGATGGGTGTATGGCAGGGAAAGAGCACATAATGTTTTCTAACAGATACAGCTGAGGTTTGTGGCAGTGATATTCAATGTAAGCTGCAAACTGCAGCTTTGCTTCCAAGCATAGCTACTTTTTAATTCCTTTTTAAGAATTTTCCTAATTTTTTCACAGAAGAAAGCCAAGACAGATCTATTGGAAAATAGCTGGAGAGACTATTTTTATATCTTTAATTAAATATTATAAAGAAGTACACTTCTGAGAGAAAAAAAATGTTATAGTGTGGGTTTTTTTTCCCAAATGTGTGGTTAGGCTGTTAGAGATAAGAGAATTTATGATTTTCCATATAGATCTGATGAAACAACTTCTTCATTTACATTTCAAGGATGGAATAGGATGGGTGAATTATGCAAGAAAAGAAAATAAGACAGAAGAAAAAGAAAGAAAGCAAAAGTGAGAGAACCATAATACGGCTACAAATACCTCCTGGAGTTACCCTGGAAAGAAGAGCATTCACAGCTCGCTGTCATGCCTGACAAACAAATTTTGACCATTTTACTCTGGGAACAAGAGCATGCATCATGGTTCAGGGATGAGGGGGAGGGTTTCAAATGCTTTTCTTACTGAGTATTGGCTTCACACCACTAATTAATGGCTCTTTAGATGTGCTCTGGCAAATAACTCTTCCTCGACAAAGCCAAGGAGTGGCACACCCATGCAGACAGAGCCTGGCTCCCATCAGTGTCCATGGGAGGCTGGGGCTGCTGTCCTGCAGGATGCTGGGGCTGGTGTCCCTGGGGATGCTGGATCAGATGTCTCTGGGGATGCTGGGGCTTCTGTCCCTGGGGATGCTGGATCAGATGTCTCTGGGGATGCTGGGGTTGCTGTCCCTGGGGATGCTGGGGCTGCTGTCCCTGGGGATGCTGGAGCTGGTGTCCCTGGCGCTGCGCTCCTGCACCCAGCTGGACCCGGCATTGAGACTGCTGGGGGTGCTGGCACAGAGGGAAGATTTGCACTCCCACCACTTGCACAAGTAAATAACTGGAGGCCAGGCTGGGGAGGGTGTCTGCCTGCGATGCCCTGCCTCCTGCCACCTGATCTCGCAGCCATCCAGCCCTTCCCTCCCTTCCCAGCCAGCAGCAGGGAGAGCCAGCAAGCCCCAGCTGGAAAGGGAACAGCGTGGCCGAGACAGAGTGAGTACAATGATTTAAATGGAGCGAGCTGGACAGTTGTCAATGGAAAGGAAATTAGTTGGAATCTAAATCTAACTAAAAGAAATGACCCAGATTACTGACACTGTAAATTGGATTAAAATGAAATCCTACAGGAAAATCGATGAGAAGCGATAAGCAAGCAAGTCAAAATGACAGCAGAAGGAGGCAGACGCTCCCTGAGAGCTTATTCAAGAGAACCAGTCAGAAGTAGAAAAGAAAATTTAATTGAGCCAATCCAAATCTAAATGGTAGAAAAATAATGGGGAATTGGAAGAGATGAGAGAAAAAGCCCAAGGAAATTTTTTTTAAAGGTTACAAATCAGTACACAAAACAGAAAATGGGAGAGAAATTAAAGAAAGGGAAAAGGCAATTTTAATTATGTCTTAAAGTAAGTGAAATTAAGTGCCTGGGAGTAGGTTTTTATAGGATGCATCTGTTTACATGGAAGTAGACTTTAATTGACATGAAGATGTTGTTTTTCTGAAAACTGGCTGCTTTTTTTTAACCTGTGTGTGCTGTTACAAAGCCCCTGAAATGCATGCATCGTCACTCCGTGCTCTGAAAAACACCGGTTTTTTTCCTCTTTCTCTTTTCCTTTGCAGGTTCATCCCTTACAGAGGAGCTGCTGAAGGCAGGGGGCAGCTGGAGCTGCCTGCCTCCTGCCAGCGTCCCACGAGGGGCAGGGAGCCTCCCATGAGGGTGAAAAGCTTTACCTTTCCTTGGCTACACCTACAGCACCACTGGATGTCACTGTTGTTTCATAAAAGACAAAAATCTTACTGTGATCTTTTTGACAGATAATGTTTAGTACATAAATATATACATGTATTTCTAGTCTCTTTCCCACAATTTTCTGCAAAAGGATTGAAATTACAGAAAGTCTGTGCAGCCTCGTGGCTCTCACTCACATTTTTGATGACTATTTTTATACAGACTGTGTTTATGGGTCCTTTTGTGGCACTCCAAGAGGCATCTCTTTCATAAAGGATTGCTTTCTGCTGTGATAGACGTAGAGTGTGGCAGAGCTGCCACAATAGATTTCAGTTGTTCTGGGGTTTCTTTTCTTTCATTTGTTTTATTTCCAGGGAATTATTTCAACTCACCTTGGCTGGACTGATTGCAGCAGTGATGGGACAAAAGTGTGAGCTGCCTGTGGAGCAGCAGATTCTGGTGCTGTCTGTGTGGAGCCCAGAGAGCTGGGCACTGCCAGAGCAGTGCTGCCCATAAATCAGGATTACCCTGGAGGTGTCTGCTTCCCTCCACTGTTACAGAGTGTGCAGAGACTGACCCTAAATCTCCTGTACCTCCTGTACTGAGAGTCAGTGAGAAACTCAGACCCTATTCCTTACAGAGGAAAAAGCTCTTTTTTCTTCCCCTTTGGTTGCCTGGGGTTGTATTTAGCTGGCCAAATGAAGACAAATAACTCTCTTTAGAGCCAGTGAAGAGGAACAGGCAATTCCAGGGAAGTGATTCATCCCATCTGAAAGAACACTTGTAACAGACAGGTGAGGTAGGTAAAGGCTTTTAGGCATCTATTTCTGCCACGTAACACTGCAGAAACCTTCAGTGACCAGTCACACAAAGAGATTCCTACCCATTTTTCCTGGTATAGGCACTTCTATGGCAGGTTTTTTGTGAACCAGTAGGCAGACCTTTTCTACATAATCTCCACTTCATTATTAATCATCTTTGAGGTGACCTTCTACACATTTCCCTAATGCTGAACATGCCAGAAAAGGCTCACGATGCCCAGTGACTCACCCTGAACTGCCCATCAGGAGCTCTCCTCTCTCCATCCAGGGACTGAGAATGAATCAGGAGAGCCCTCAACAGCCCTAGTGAAACACACCAGGAGCTAACCCAGCAATTTGGCAGTATGGACAGGGCACTGCTGTGCCCAACAAGGCTTCTGGTGCTATTTCATAAGCAGTGCTGCAGATTAGGGGAAAAAAAATCTGTTGGTGGCAGCTACATAGACTTCTGTTTCAGCACTCAGCTCCCAGAGGTTTATCTGCTACACTGAGGACAACAAAACTGTTGTTACATATGACAGGACATGAAATGCAATGCTGAGAAAGTGCTCCTCTATTTGCATGAAAATAGCTCAGCTCTGTAAACCATTCTCCCTCTCACACCTATTTCAAGCCACAGTGTTATAGATATAACACTATAACAGTGTATAACTATAACTAGATATAACACTATAACAGTGCTATAGAACTCTTTAAGACATCACCAACCTTCCCCAACATGACTGGTCCATGCAATGTCACAGCAGATGTGGACTCCTGCACAGAAATAAAGTATGAGAGTCCAGCTCCTCTTAAGGAGCTCTTAAGAGGTTATGCAAGTCTAAATAGGGTAAATAAGGAGAATAAGAAATTTCTGACAGTTGTCACTGTCAGAAATCACTTAATGGGAGAAAATTAAAAGAAGAGACAAAGATTGAGAATAAATGCCCAAGTATTCCAGTGAGGAGTTAACATATTTGGGGCTAAAGGTCATGAATGCAGACTGGCCTAAGAGATTTGCCAATTTTAATTAAAAATTATGCTAAATCAACAAGGAGGAATAACGTGTGCTGTGCAAATTGATCAGGAGACTCTTAAGTGCCAGCTGTTTCTAGCAGCACTCTTTTAATTTTCTATCAATAAATAAAGGAGTGTGGAAAGACTGCACACATTTAATACAGCACAGCAAAATGTCTGAATCATGCAAAGTTAGTTTCAGGGAATTGAAATGATAAGACATTTCTAAAAATAAGGCCTTATAGAGTAATTGCTTAGAGTGGGGCTCCCCTGGGGTGTGATAGGCAATTCCTCCACTTCTCCACGGCACAAACCTCTGCCACCACCTGCGTCTTCGGGCTACTGCTACCTACAGTGACAAAAGCAGGTAACTTGTCTCCCCAGTGCGTGCACACGCACTCTAGCTGCATCTTCTAGGTCTTATTTGGATGGGCACCGGGAGGTTTGTACCTGCCGGGCAGCCTCGGGCACTCTGTGTGCCCCGGGGCTCCAGCCCATGTTCCCCGCTCGCTATCGGGGGCTGCCGAGGGGCCGGGGCTGCTGCGCTGCCCGCCGGCCGCAGCCGGCCAACCTGACAGGCACCTGCAGCCACATCATGTGCATGGATAAGCAGTCTGCAGAGTGCCCGGAGAGACGTGCGAGGTGTGGGGCAGGGTGAGATCCCGCCCCGCTGCCTCCTCCCGGGCTGCGGTGGTTGCACGCTGCCCCACGGGTGCGGGGAGCTGAGTAACATCCCTGCACCCTCACTTCGTCCCCAGCCCCGGGGCTCCTCAGGACAGAGGGCAACACTAAAAGTATCAGGTTTTCTATATTTGTCATTGTATGAATTTTGCCCTAATCTGGTGCCATTATTCCCATCACTTAAACTCTGACTAGTGATTAATAGAAGATGGAAGAAGCCTGATCCTTCTCTCATGTGTTTGCTCCCCAAGCTGTTTCACGGTACACGTTCCCGTGGCAGCCGTGGAGATCTAATCTGCTTCACACTCGTGGCTCGGGCACTTGGAGATCGTCACGGGCTGGGAGCCTTTGTTCCCCCACGCTCCGCAGCACGGGGAGGCTGGGAACAGACACGGGCCCGTGGGGGGACTCAGCCGAGGCGGGAGCTCCTCCTCGCGGCTCCGAACGGGGAGCCCCATTCCCGCTGGCAGCGCTTCGGGGCGGGGAAGCGGCACCCCGGGAGCGGGAAGCTGACAGCATCCCTGTGCAGCATCCTTTTAGAAAGCTTTTTGCATTTGCTGTTATCTCCACGAGTCATATGTATGCAAATTAAACACGGCTGGTAGCAGCTAAATAGCTATTTCTTGCCAAAAATACCTGCTCTCTGGGGTCTCCATCCTCACGCGTTTGCAAACTGCATCAGATGCCGCATAAGACATCCTCCAAAATGTGCTGACACTCATACCAGTATCAGGCAAGAAGTTCCCATCCCTCCCCACTTTTTCCCTTTAATCTTTTTTTTCTCTTTCTCTCCCCCCCTCCATGATTTTAGGTTTTTACTTTTACATTTCTAAGCAATTAATTTTTTGGCTCCCATGTAGGATCAACAGGTGTGGAATGACTGATACGCTCCATCTGGTTGCTGCTGATAAGGTAATCCTGGGAGTTGAGGGCATTATCTTCAATAAGCTTAAACAGCAGCAGCCTAATCTATTTGCAAGGGAGAACAAGCCCGGCAGCCAATATTGTTATTTCATGGGAACAACTGGGCACAGACAGCGCTTTCACAGGAGGGGTAGGAGGGTTTTCACCCTCCTATTTTTCCCCTGGGAGTGATGATTCACTCGGTGTTGTCGTACCCCCGCTTAGAAAAAGGATAAGCTTTGCTTTGAAATTTGCCCCCCAGACCCATGATTTCTGAATCAAATCATCGCTTTGCTTCTTTACATCCCACTCATGGGTCCTTATTTAATCTTCCCCAAGGCAATGGGAAACTGTTGGCTTGGGGTTGATAATAAATACTATTTTCTGTAACTTCCATAAAACTACGATAGCTGTTGAGTTCTGATGTGGGGTGTGATGAGAGCAACGGGGTGTGCTTGGGGTGCCCCCTGCAGATGAAGGGCACTGCCATCTCCGCTCAGGTTTGGGTTTGTGGTGACACTCAGGGACTGTCACACAGGCAGGCACACTGAGAACCGCGTCGCGTCCCCTTGGGCTGCTGTCCCGATCTATGGCACGAACCACGCAGTGTCGTGCCGGCAGCATCACAAACCTACGCCTGCGCCTTTCCCGGCGCCCATTCAGTGGGATTTCAGCCAACAGCTTTGGGGTTTATTTATCGATGATTTCTGTTCTTAGCTTTCACTGTGTACTTACCCTGCTCAAATACCTCCCCTAGTTTCCCCCGAGCCAAACTCGTGCTGCGGGGTGAGCATCCGAGCCGAGCCACGCCGCCGACAGCTGCCAGCCGGCCGCACTGCAGCTTCCCGGGGAGCCACGGCAATGAACAGCGTGTTCCTTCTCCCCCGGGCTGCGGGAAATGCAGAGCGCGTTTTTAAGCCGGTGTCTTAGCGAAAAAGCGGGCAGTGCTGTGGCAGACACGATTCCCGACGCGCAGGACGGGGTGAACCCGCCCCGCCACCCAAGGACGCGGCGTGACGGAGGCGCCTGGCTGCGGATCTGCCGGCCCTGGCTGCGGAGCTGCCCCCCCTGTGCTGCGGGTCTGCCCCCCCTGGCTGCAGATCTGCCTCCCCTGGCTGCGGAGCTGCCGCCCCTGTCCTGGGGATCTGCCGCCCCTGGCTGCGGGTCTGGCCCCTCCTGTGCTGGGGATCTGCCCCTCCTGTGCTGCGGATCTGCCCCCCCTGTGCTGCGGATCTGCCCCTCCTGTGCTGGGGATCTGCCCCTCCTGTGCTGCGGATCTGGCCCCTCTGTGTTGGGGATCTGCCCCCCCCGTGCTGCGGATCTGCCCCCTCTGTGCTGGGGATCTGCCCCCTCTGTGCTGGGGATCTGCCGCCCCTGGCTGCGGGTCTGGCCCCTCCTGTGCTGGGGATCTGCCCCTCCTGTGCTGCGGATCTGCCCCCCCTGTGCTGCGGATCTGCCCCTCCTGTGCTGGGGATCTGCCCCTCCTGTGCTGCGGATCTGCCCCCTCTGTGTTGGGGATCTGCCCCCCCCGTGCTGCGGATCTGCCCCCTCTGTGCTGGGGATCTGCCCCCTCTGTGCTGGGGATCTGCCGCCTCTGTGCTGCGGAGCTGCCCCCCCTGTGCTGCGGGTCTGCCCCCCCTGGCTGCAGATCTGCCTCCCCTGGCTGCGGAGCTGCCGCCCCTGTCCTGGGGATCTGCCGCCCCTGGCTGCGGGTCTGGCCCCTCCTGTGCTGGGGATCTGCCCCTCCTGTGCTGCGGATCTGCCCCCCCTGTGCTGCG